ATGATCTGTTTGGTAACACGAATTTGAAATAATGTATTTGAATTTGAAGGGTTAAAATTCAATATCACTGTTTGTTTTTAAGTAAATAAAAAGTAATTGAATTTGAATGAAATACATGTATTTTAACAATGTAATTTCCAACAATAAAATATGTGTATTTCAATTTCAGCTTAAAACCCCTGAATTTTAATTTTGAATTGAATTTGGTCTGCACTCTCTCTTCTCACCAACGGCAATGAGAAACGCCGCAAATTTCGAAAGTTCCCGCTTCCCCCCTCTCCCAAAATTCCTTAGAATCTCACTGTTGTTCCTTGAGATGGCTCGTACTAAAATCCGAGGCTGAGGCCCGACTGTTTCGCCCAACTATTTTGTGTCCCTCTTCAGCCCTTCAGTGTACACCAACCATGGCCATCGTCGGCGTCCTCGCTTTACAGGGATCTTTCAACGAACACATCACAAGCAGTACTCTGTCTTCATCGTGGTCATCATTTATATAAACATCACATGAACATGTTAATGGGTTTTGATTGCTGTTTTTGTTTCTCTCCGCAGCACTTAAGCGGCTTGGAGTGAAGGGAGTGGAGATAAGGAAGCCGAAGCAGCTTCAGAGTGTCAGCTCTCTTATCATCCTTGGAGGAGAAAGCACCACCATGGCTAAACTCGCCGCGCTTCACAATCTTGTAATGTCTATTTCTCTGTTGATTTTGGCTTTGGCGAAGTTATGTTTCATGGATAGTTAATATTATTAACTATGATGTAGATTGATGAAATGGGTTGTGTTTAGTTTACAAGATTTATGCTTTAATTAAAGACATTAGTAGATTGCTAAACCACTGTCTTTTTCTTTGCTTTCATTTCGATTATTTTCAGGACTTTTGAGTATCAGGGTCTCATGTTGTGTCACTTATTGTATGAAAATTCTATGCCTTTGGCTTTTTGATTTAGGCATGTTATGTTCTGTGGGATAGAAAAAGAGCAATCAATGGGTTATTTGTGAGAATGAACTGCTAACAAATTTAGCCCTATATATATATTTGGACCTTTAGGTTTCATCTTAATTTAAATTAATTTACAAGCCTATGGATTCTTTCATGTATCTGAACTTCTGAGTCAATAAGGCGGATTTGCAGTTACAGGAAAATTCTTAACTGAAAATATCTATCTATTCAGTTTCCTGCCCTGCGTGAATTTGTGAAAATGGGAAAGTCAGTCTGGGGGACATGTGCAGGTCTTATATTCCTGGCAAACAAAGCTACTGGTGGGTTCCTGCTCTTTTCTTTCTTTTTCTTGTATTAGATTTTTGCTCTTCAATAAGCAAATTGTTGACATTAAAGCATGCAAAATGTTGTAGTTTTGATTATTGACATGGACCCTTCCTTATTTCAGGACAGAAAGAAGGTGGACAGGAATTAATTGGTGGCCTTGATTGCACTGTGCATAGGAACTACTTTGGCAGTCAGGTAATTACATACTCTTTTTCCTTTTTGGTTAATAGTTAATTCTAAGTGGTTTTGAATGAATATTGAAAGCACAGTTTACTGTGAAATACTCATCTACCATTTCTATGTTGTTCTATAAAAAATGGGACCTGGAACTTAAACAGATGGCAGCAGCACTCACAGCTTTTTATGACACCCTTCATTTTCAATTTCTAAATACAGTTTGCTGCTACCTCATATTTTCTAAATACAGTTTGCAGATGAATTTGCATTCATTATTTTATAATAGAGTAAATAAAATTCCAAAATAATATTTTGAAAGATTAAAATTGTTAACTTTGAGTTTATTAAATTTAAATAATAATATGAAGAAGATTTAATTTAATAAAAAAATTCAATTTTAAATACAGTATTTTAAAATATTTAAACAATATATTTAAAAATACATGTATTTGAAATTCATTTTTTTTAATTCAATCCAAACAATGTATTTTAAAATACATATATTTTAAATATATGTATTTCAAATATATGTATTTTAATTACATTCATCAAATTCAAATTCAAGTTCCCAAACACAACCTAAAAGAATTTCCCTGAATATTAAGAAGTTTCACCGAATATTAAGACATTTCCCCTTACCCAACGGTTGGTTTATGTTACACACTACAACCTGCATAGCATTTTTCTTATTTTTCAGAAATATAACTAAACAAAACAAGTGAATTTAATATACCAAACACCACGTTACATTTAAAGCTGACCACATAGCGTCATTATTTAATTAATTTTTTAGTAGAGGCCGGCACATAAATTATACATGCTGTCACTTGACACCACATTATCATCACAAATTTATAATCCATTATATCATTCGAGAAAATCTGATAACTATGATAAATATATAACAAAATTGAGGTGGATTCATGAAAGATTAAAGAAAAGTAGAGAAAATAAAGAAGTTATTTGGGCCAAACAATGGCAACAAAAGACCTAAACACTCATGTCCTCGAAAAAAAAAACAAAATATCACAAGATGACTTTCAGATAAGCAATTAGGACTCAGTTCACAGGAACCTCGATCTCAGTTGCCACAACAGCTGGCCTAATATACTCTTCCTCATCCTTGGGATTGTGGATTGTAACCAAATCAGGCAAGGGAGTTGTAGGACCCTGCTTGCCCTTCGGGTCCCAATCCAGCATGATCTTGACCTTGATGCCAAGAACTCCCTGGGAGACGACAACTCAATCAGCAAGCCAATCAAAAAGAAAGCATACACGGTGCAAAACAAGATCAATACGAGGAACCAAAACAGATATAGGAATGGGCAAACCTGTCGCAGAAGAACATGCCTAATGGCAGAGTCAATGTATTCATTGACAGGATGGCCAGAAGAGATCATATATCCATCCTTAAACTTCATGGATTTGGCACGTTGTGCCCTAAGCTTTCCACTAACAATAACCTACATCAAAAAGGAGAACATTAAAATTGAAAACAAAAATCCAGGTGAATCCCAGTTGGGTATGGTAAGTAACCAAACTAAGTCCAAAGCATCCCAATACAAACCTCACAACCCTTTGCACCACTCTCCATGACAAATCTCAGAACACCATAACAGGCCCTATAAAAGGGAACAACCAACATGATCAGCTCTGACAAAACTAAAAGTTTAGGATTAATAATTATTCATAAACCATAATTTCCCAATTATTAATCTACAACATGTTATACAGTTTAGCTCCAAACACATATGAATCAAAACAATTAAACTCAACTTGTCATCATCAAAATAACTAAGAAATTTTTTGGAACTCGCAATATTCCCTCCAAATTGTTACTACATGAAGATCAGAGAACTTCATGAGGAAGATGGAACGGAGGCTTCTATTAATGTTGTCATCTTCCGACACAAACTCGGTATTTGGTTATCGAATCTGCTTTATAGATGACTACCTATAGACTTCCTTTTTATTAACACCAGGGTAATGCCCCACACATGCTTCATATTTTAAGGAATGATGACTAATCTACCAGAGTTGTACCCTCTCTAAGGTTACAACGTGAAACATAGAGCATTTCACGAGGATGATGGCATGGAGGATATGAACTAGCCCATTAGTGTCGTGATCTTCCGACACAAAATTGTCAGGAAAATACCAATCTGCTTTGTAGATGACATAAAGGCAAAACAAACTTCTAACATTAACTAGTAAATAACACACAGATAAAGCCAACGCTACCTGAACAGATTTACAATTACTCAAAACAAATAATACAAAAACCCCGAAACAATCAATGGGCTTCCGTATATACCTCCGAACAGCAAGGCCACCGAGGAGCTTGTAACGAAGAGACTCAGCCTGGGCAATGGCACAGAGCCCTCTGTTGTTCACCTTCTCAGCATAAAGCTCGACGCTGTTCTCAGGGAACTTGAATCGCTTCTGAACTACAGAAGTCAGCTCCCTAATCCTCCTCCCCTTCTCACCTGTTATTCCCATTCAAAGAAACAATCCAAAACCTATATCAATCAAAAACCCACGACTATAACAGCAACATTTACATACTTTTTCCGAGAGGGACATACCAAGAACGTTTTGGGTACGGGTCGCTCTGATGATGATCTCAGTGCGCATGGGGGTAACCCTAACCTCAACTCCAGAGTAGCCATCCTCAGCGAGCTCTCTGGTCAGTACCTCGTTCAGCTCGGCAAAGAAAACTCCATCAGCGACAAACTGTAAGTGGAAAAGGAAAGGAGAGAATTAGAGAAATCAAAACCGTTCGAATCTCCCAGATTCTTCATTTCAATCAGAAAACAGAAAATGAGGAATCGAAAAGAGAGTCAACGGACCTTTCTCTTTTTGCTGATTTGCGTCGCCATTTTTCTTTCAGGTGAATAGAGTTGCAGAGACGGGATCGGATCGACGGCGGCAATAAGCTCTCTGCACCGTGCAAACCCTAATTCCTTTTCGCCGATAGGGTTTGGAGATCTCGAGCATGGTTTTTTATATGCGCGGGGTGAGATCCGACGGCGGAAATTGATTTAGGGTTTTATTTGATGAACGGGTGAGATTACCTTCGTTTTTTGGCATCTCAATCCAAATGAGACCTTGTTGGCCCAAAAAATCCAAATGATTGAGGGCTGCAATTGATTTAGAGCCCATAAGAGAGAGAGCACTAATAAATGGGCTTCTTTTATGGCCTATAGTAACCCATATGAGGAACAAAATATGGGTAACGATTGGGAAAACTTATGGATTTTTTTAAAAGATAATTGCATATCTGTAAAAAGAAAGGAGGATGATGAAATTCAAAATAAATTACTTTTCTGAGTTTTTTCCAAGCTTTCTCAAGAATTGAACTTTGATTAAAGATACACTGGGTAAATAGCCTTACAAATCAATCATGCCTTGCAGTTCGTTCGCGTAGTTTGTTTTTTATTTTTTATATTTTTATCTAACCATAATAAATTATATAATAAAATATAACTTTTACCTCAAGATTTGAATTTTTTTGATACATTTAATCATAAATTATATAAAATACGATAACTTTTTTTCATTTTCAAATCTTTCTTCACCTGACTCAAAATTCAAATTTAAAATTTTTAACTTAAAGTTTCAATGTTTTAACCATTAAATTATTCCATTGAAATAATGGAGATTTGAATTTGATATAGGTAAAGTGTGACTAAAGCACAGTAGAAATCCCATGTGCAAGTTATCAGTTAAAACTTTCTCCGTATATATTATATTTGAAATTTCCCAGATAGTGATATTCCAAGTTCAATGTACAACTCATAAGAACTACTTTATATGGGCCAACTAACAAAATATTGTAAATCAAAGGAAAACTCAGGAATCCATGTACCCTATACAAAAATCTCAAAGGGTGGATCATGGATGTTTGTTGAGATCATGCCATAGTTAATTAATGTCATCTTCAAAATTATAATAATGGTAATTAGCCCATAATTGGTCTTTCCAAAGATCACCCTATTATTATAGTATAAAATAGTTAGATTACTGTTGATAGGGTCCAATTAATGATGTTGATACCTAAATAAGATCTCTTTTTTATAATTATAGGACAATTGGCAAACCAGAGTTGTGGTAATGTGGTTGTTCCTTTCATAGATGTTTGCTGGAAATGCACGAAACAGAAAGGAAACAAAGGGAAAGCAGATTCCCACTTCACATATTTGTTATCATTTCTTTGGTCATTGGCCCATATATTTCATCGGTAATTTGCTTTCAATGGATGTTTGAAAATAGAAAATTTGAGTTTGAATTATACAGTAAGTGCGTTGCCCCACTTACTAAAATTTAAACATCAGCGGGTAAAAGCGCATCTTCTCCAACTTTATGTAATGGAATTAATAATATCCTCCAACACTAATGGTAACTTGTTTAGAAGATGGGCAAATCTAGACCAAAAAATTAAAAGGTCAAAGAGCAATTTTTAATTCTTGAACTTTTTAATTTTAAATATTTTTTAATTCTTAAATTTATTTTTATTATTTTTTAGTTTTTGAATTATGAAATATGTATCTTTTTAGTTTTTTTATTAATAATCCATTAAATTTATTTAAATATATATTTTTGATCCTTAAACTTAAAAAAATGTACATATATGAATATGCTTAATAGATTAATTTATGAAAGATTAATAAAATATATTTTTAATAATTTACAAATAAAAAATATATAAAATAATTAAAAATTTAAACACTAGAATTGTCATTTAACCAAAATAAAACAACAAAAAATCCATTTCTACCAATCACTCATGTAGTCATGACTCATGTGGGCCTTACCATAAAAAATGAAACTTCATGTCTCTCTCTCTCCTAAGATCAGGAAATTAGGCTAGCCATATAATGTGGGTCCACCAACAGCGACATCTGCTCAATCAGAGACACAGAGTGCAGGAAGAAAGAATCATCATCTTGAAGGAAGTCATAGAAGACATTTATTGCACAAAGAGAATATACAAAAAATAAAAAATAAAATAAAATAAAATAAAGAAAAGGAAAAACAAACAAAATTTGAAAAGTAAAAGAGAAAGAACCTAAGCAGAGGGAAAGGGATAAGCATAGAGAAGTTCAGTTCCATCTCCAAAGAAAAAAAGAACCTTTGGGCTTTGGGGCCCTTGTCATGTTGTTGAGGGGTCACCATTCATACATAATCTGTCTGTCTCTTTGAACTGTAATCTAATGTTCTCAAATGCTAAAACTACTTCCCTTGAATACTTTATTTTTTTTCTCTCCCTACTAATACCATCCAAGTGATTTCATTGGTTAGAACAACATTAAAATAATAGTCAAAAGCACTCATCATCTCTTATCTATGATCTTGTGGTGGCGTGTGATTGGGAACCAAAAAGATTATCTAAAAGCTGCTTTCTTTTCCAGAGCATCTTCACAGGGATGTATGAGTCTATACGTTAACCATTAAAGAGAATAAGCAGAATATGAACAGTATTTTCTTTGCAAATACAAGAGAGAAAAAAAAAGGGATCTTTGGTTTCATGGGAGATGACCCAAAACAGTATCTTTGCTGAGTCTTACCTCAGAGTCTTTTGCTTCTCAGCTAAGGTCTAGAAGAAATTTGCTTTTGATTGAGGTTGAAAAAGGAATAAAGGGTATTATGGAGTGTTCCCAACTCAAAAGTAGATTATGAACCTTCATGGAAAGAAACTGAATGAAAACTAGGTAAAGAAAATATGGAAAAAAACAGATATCAATCAGCCTTTTTGACAAAAAGAAAAAGTGAGGATAGACTTAGTTCCTTGTAAAAACAAGTCGACATCTGTAGACTATAGTATTGAAAAGGAAAAGAGCAAGAAAGAGAGGGAGAAGAATTAATTAAAAATGAACCTTTATTATTATCTATTACCAAGACAGGAGCAAAACTAGAAATGAACACACATGCTTCATTTCAATTAGATCCAGGGTTACACAGAGAGTTACAATGAAGTAGAAAAGCAATTTTAGACAATTATTTCTCTAACAAATGTGAGTTGTAAGTGCAGAACTAGAGATAGTTCACTGGTACAATGGGGAAGTTACAGAACCTAACCATGTTTTTCTTCTTCTAACTCCATATAGCTCTGAAATCCTTCATCTGGCACCATGAAAAAGAATTGACAACGGGCCAGTTTTTCCTCCCTAAGCAGGTTTTCTCTTGTGCCCAGCTTTGCCATCTGATTTCAAAACCCCACTTGAATCCCCCTCAGATGATGCTTCCACGGATTTGGTGAAGGAACTTGAAAGATCAGCATAGAGGTCAACCACTCTCCTTATGTTGTTGTTGAGCTCCCTGATTAAACCAACATTTCTGCTCAAGTTGTCAGGGATCTTGGACTCATGGTTCTGGTTTATCTCATTGATTAACAGCCTATTCTGGTCCAAGATATTCTGGACCTGAACAAAACTCTTTTGAAATGTCTGCAAGATCTTGCCATCTACCTGGGAACCATTCCCTAGTCCTGAAAATGTATCACCCTCCATCCTTTTTTTCTTCTAAATCAGAGAGTTCCTATCAAATCACAACCACACCTACATCCAAATACAACAAGAAGAAAAAATATATATCAGAGGAAAACAAAAGATGAGACAGCGGTTGTTAAACGTCCTAATATATTATTGCAATTTGGTAATCCTGATCTAGTATTATAATAAATTACCCATAATTATATCTTCCCCATCTAGACTCCCTACATGTTTATATTAAGCAAATCCCAGACAAAGAATAGAGAAGTGTTGGAATTGTTTAAGGCATTTTGGGCAGATGAGACAAAGGCCTGTAGTAGAAATCATGACCCTCCATGGGTTCAACTTTTTTCACAGAGAGGAATCAAGGGTGTGGTAACAAACATGAAATTATTATTATTGTTATTAATATTATTATTGCTATTAATATTATTTATGATGAGATGTGGAAAAGCAGATCCCATTTCCATAAAAAGGAACCTTTTTTAATGTACTCAGAAAATACCCACCTAAAGCACAGAGTTTCGAGGAAGAATCTCAAACACCCAAAAAGAAAAACCAAGTCAATTATGCTCCAAAGATGAGCAAAAGAGAGTACAATCTGCTTCAGAGAGACAGACACCATTATTATTATTATCATCTCCCCAGCTAAGAAAATCAAGAAGAAAACCAAAAACAAAAAAATGTAGTAATACCTATTTTATTAAAAAAAAAAAAAAACCAATACTCCAAATCTACTGGGTTTTGCTTGAGATTCCGATCAAGCAAACAGAAAATATGGAGACCCCAATTGAGAATTCGAGTACGTTTGAAAAAAACCGTACAAGTTGCAGTAGGCTGTCTACCAGAAGAATCACAAATACCCAAAGTAGAAAACAAAAAGAAAAATCCCAACAAAAAAAAAGAGAGGAAAGAAACAAGATCTCTACAGAAACTGAAAACGAAATACAAAAATCAAAACCCACGACTGCAACAGAAATCCCATAAAAGAGAAAAAAAAAAGAAAAAAAAAGACATTGTGAAAAAAAAAAAAGAAAAGCTGATAAGATCAAAGTCTCGGTAAAGGAAAAGAACCCATCAACTCAAAAAATGATTAATTAATTCCAAAAATGAGAAACAAAGACAAAGAAACAGATTTCACAGATAAATATTTTATTCTTGCAGTGTTTCTTCTTAAACATAAATACAAACTATTGGTTTCGTACCTTGAAAATCTGGAGCATTATATTCCGGGAGGCGACGCAGGTTGAAAGAAGGCGAAGAGGGATTCCCGAGGAAGAATGGAAAAGATCGGCGATTGAATCGAATCTCAGGGACTCTGAATTATGAGAGAGAAGAGAGAGAAACAGAGAATATGTAGATTTGACAGTCACGCTCGGACAGACCCTTCCGTTGTGTCTAAATAAATTATATTTTCTACAGGGTTTATTTCTATAAATAAACTATTCAATCTTCTCAAGCAATAATTATTCTTAAAAAAAATTTATTGGGTGAATTTGTAAAAAATAAGTAAAAATATTTTAAAATTAATTTATTTTTAATAAATTGTTATTAGAAGAAATTAAAATAATTTATTTTTAAAAATAAAATCAATACTCTCTATTTAAAAAAAAGATAT